TTTTGACATCTTAGTTGACTCCGTTGTAAAATGCAAATTCCGTCACATTGACGTTTTAATTCAAACCATGAGAGGGTTATCTATAGCTTTTGAAATCATAGGGAGATTATGTTAAAAAAACACTTAACCACAAGGGGGTAAAGTGTAATTTGCCTTTATGTATAATATGTAATGAATATTGTCACATTGTAAGAAATTTACATATAAAAGTTTTTAAAGACTAATATGGTAGTTAAATGTTTGGAATAAAATAATATCTGATGTAATTATGAATAATATGTAAAATGATGATGAATTAATTATGCTTTGCATCAGTTCATGATGAATCACAATAAAAATATTCCGCACTAATGCATAGCGAAGCACTAGTTCACTGTAATTGGTAAGTGTTTATTATATGTTTCTAAGTAGCATTAGGTGTTTACTTTTGGTATAAATTAGGGTTTTAGTGGTATAACTTGCTCTCTAAATTTCTAAATTTTGCAAGTTTCATTTGATTACATTTGCAGGATTTAAGGGGTGTTATAAACATGGGATCGAGAAGAATTTATTTAACTCCAGTGCATGATTTGACGATGATTTGGAGAAGTAATAGGGCATCAAATGCAAGTATTATTGGTACAATGCATGAACAAAAATATGGACACCTTGCTCTTGATCTTAGTGTTGAATTGGAGCAGAAAAGAATCAAGAAAAATTCACTGAAGTGAATATGTGATCTCTGAAAATGTGAGCTCCAGCTCACATATTCTCCCTTGTTTTCTACAATTTGCCCTGTAACTTGCCATGGCTTCACATCACTTTCCAGGTCATTCCAACAAATAGTTTCGGCTATAACTACTCAAGAAACTCTAGGGAAGTGCATAGGAAGCTTTATGTTATTTCATTAAGCACTTTTTGATTCTCTTAACAAATATATAATGTAAGAATCATTGAAAAAAGAGAGGAGAGAGTTTTCTTAGTTGTCAGCTCAAGAGCTTAGTTATAGCTTGTTCTTATTCTTTCTAACTAGAAACTTGTAAGGAACACTTGGAGATTTTATTGTACAACTCATTTGTTGAAGGAATAGAAGATTTTGGGAGCTTGTTCATCATCTTGGCTAAACTTTCTTTATCTATCTCTTTACTTGTGATTCAATATGTGTTCATGCAATGAAGCAATGTACTTTCTTATCTTATATCACATACGTAGCTAAATTTCTAGATTTAGTAAGTAGATGAAACTTGTGATTACTTGATATGGGTTGAACATGATTTACACTTGTTACCTCTTGTATTAATTTGTCCATTTATGCATGCTTATCATTTATTGTTGCTTGATCACCAATAACAAGTTCTTAGTTGTTGTTACATAATGATAATTGGTAATAATGATGGCAAAACATAAATGGAGCTTAAGGAGTAGACTAATGAGAATAGAGATGCATTTAAGTGGATTGTCTTTGCATTTCATGAAAAACAAAAAGGGTAGTTCTAGTTATTTACCATGCATGAGAATAGGGAAAACTAGTTTAGTCAATGCCACTACATTATGAGAGAGAGTTTGATAATTATGAAAATGAATCCCTAGTTAAATAAGAGGTAAATCTATTTGCTTGTATCTTTTGTGCCATAAGTGAATTCTACACCTTAAACTCAAGTATTTAGTAAATTTTTTCCATTGTTTTCTTGCAAGTTATCTAGTTGAGTAAGTTAGTTAGTTAGTAAGTAATTGTGATTTCTTTTGCTTTTATTGATAATTAATCTAAATAATAGAGTAAGGATCTAATACTTGCAATATTTGCTCCTCGCTCCTTATGGGATCAATCCGACATATGTTCTAAACTACTATTTTGATCTGTATACTTACAGTCAACGAATATATTTTAGATTTAACCTTGCAATTGTATTGAAAATCTGTCAATAATCTTATATGGAACCTTCACTTGCTATAGAATGAAATCAGCTTAAGGGTAAAACTAGCATTAAAATATTGGCCAAGCAGTTGATTAGTTCACACGTGAACAGTGTCATCCATAAACAAGTTCAATTTTTAATCAGTTTGCTCTCGCGTCTCTTGAGTATAAACAAGGTCCGGTTAAGAAAAAAAAAGTCCGGTGTAAATAAATCTAGGTAGGGTGTAAATGGGTAGGATTATAGTGTAAAAAATATTAAAAATAACTGTACTACCCTTAATTAGTTTGAAATAGAGCATGTGAGGCCCGTGATCCGTTAGTGAAATCATATGAATTTTATCTAACTAGGGTATAGCGACAAATGACTAATCCAAAGTCTAGTAGCTAGTCCCTTTGGAAATTTCCCTCATGATCGGAAAACAAAAGAAATTAAGAAGAAAAAATGCCATATGAATCACGAGGTAACTAGTGCACAAGACAGAGGGAAAACTAAAAATAGTATTATATCTTCAGCTCTAGCCCTATTCTCTGAGGCAGGGAATTCCACTATACACGTCTTTGTCTCTGGCAAAGAATATACATCATTTCATTCATATCCACACTCAAGTCATTTTGATAAGAGTATATTTTACGTATTTTTAGTGTGCTTTATTAATTAGTTTTAGTGTGTTTTATTTATTTTATAAATAATTAACTAAGATTCTAGTGAAAATATGCATTTTGTGGTTAAAGTGTGAAAATTGCATTTCTATTGATTTTTATGGTAAAAACTTCATATTTTGTAGGTTTAATGATTCAATCATCAAATGAAGTGTATTGAGAAGACATTTGGATGATTGAAAATGGATTAAAGTGGTGAAAATAAAATATGAAGTGTAAAAGGAGAAATGCAATTTGGATCAAGAAAAGTCAGCTTTGACAACTCTGACATGTTTTGGTATTTTAACTATATCTGGAGCTACACAGATTAGATTGAGGTGATCTTTATACCATTTTGAAGCTAAGAGACGTATCTACATTTGGTATGAAGACATCAAAGTCCAATTCAGCCGTTTTCATAGTCCAAAAGTTGAAATACCGAAATTCAACTCAGCTGAGAAATGCAATTTGAGAACAAAAGAATCAAACAAAAGTCAGCTTTGGCATCTGTTGGTATTTTGGATATATCTTGAGTTACATACATTGGATTGAGATGATTTTGAACCAGTTTTGAAGCTAAGAGACAGAGCTACATTTGGTATGAAGACATCAAAGTCCAATTCGGCTGTTTTCCTGGTCAAAATGTCAAAATATAGAAGTAAAAGTCTGCTGCTGAGAGCTGAAAATGCGGAATTGACCGGTCTTTGGTATTTTGGTCATATCTCGGTCTAGACAGCTCCAAATTGAATGATTCTTGAGGAATTGGACAGCTATTTCAATGGACTACAACTTCTATGTTTTTCACAAGAGCTAATTCAGCTGCAATCATAGAGAAAATAGTAGTTGAAGTAGCTAGATTCTGGTCAGAAATAGCTGATCTCCACTGGTACAACCTGTTTTCTCCTTCAATAATTTACAACTATGGATGAACATATGACAACCAATTAGCATCTGTAAAAAGGATGTTTCAAGCCTCATTTCCTGATTGCATTCACCTATATATAGCCATGGACTTGCAAGATTCAAAATAACTTGGCAAGGCTAGGAAAACTCACCAAAAATGTAGTCTTCACTAGTTTTTCTTAGTTCATTAATATAGTATAGGTAGAGTAGTTTATCCTTCTTGTATTTGTAGTTAGAATTGGAGGAAGATTGGAGGAGCAAAGATGGAGAGTTTGAAACTCATGTGACAAGGGTGACTTCTTTCCTATCACTTTCTCTTTTGTATTTGAATTCATGTTTAACTATAATACTAGTTTGGTGTTTGTTTTTATCATGTTTAGTTAAAGTTTATGCCTAAGTATGGATGAACTTTCTACATCTTGTTTATGATCTTTACTTGGTTATTTGGTGATATTATTTTGAGCAAGTTATTTATCACTTTTGATATTCTAATCATAATTAACCGGCCATTAGTTGTGATTATCTAAGGTGTTAAATTTGCAATGAGAATTGGAATTTAACACTAGTTCAAGGAAGTGATAAACATAAGGAGTTCACTCACGAAAGTAGAGGTGCACCTATGTGGTTTAAGTGACTTGTTTCATGTAATTTCATAGAAGAAATGAACTTGTAGTTAATTTCATAACCACGAGAGTAGGTATGGCTTAATTACAAGTATAGTTGATTCACTACGAGAGTAGGTTTCACATGCATTAGGAAATTACGCCATAACTAGTCAAGATAATAGCATTTACTTAACCGGTAATCTCATTTGCAAGAGTAGTGAGGAATTCCATATTTCTAGGAGCTTTCTAGTGTTATTTTCATTACTTTCATATTTATGGTAGTCTAGATAATAAAGGAGTTCGAAAAACACCGGTAATTGCAATCTTCCCTGTGGGATCGACCCTTAATACCCTATACTCGCTCACGATTCGTATACCTGCGATAAATCGCGTGTGGGGCATTTAGGAGTTATAAATGTAAAACTTGATTGCGGATGAGCTAATTGTGTATGTATACCCCGCGCACTTCACATTTCAAAAGGAATTAGTACTTAGTAGTTCTATTTATTGGTCTAATTCATAGTTGCACATTCCGTGATTTTAAGACCTCACGCAAAGCCCTAAAAAACGAAATAAAATAAACATAACGTATGGATTAGGAATGGTTGCACCTACAAATATTTTGCATGAGTTGCAATCATCAATTTTGTCTGAACTTTAACAGACGCCCCAATAGTTGAGCATTCGAAACAAAGCCCGGATTTTCTTATTTTTCTTTTTATTTTTCTTATTTTTCTTTCCCCTAATTTGCATCTATTTGGCTAAGTCACCTTTGTCAAATCATGCAAGTTCGTTGCAAATGTTTACATGACCTTTGAAAGCAGTCATCACTTGGAAAGCTTGAATAACAATAAATGTTCACACGATATTTTTTTTTTTTTTGATAGAATTAATCAGCATTCATATATGAATCCATATATTGATTTGCATAAGAAGATTGCATTAATAAAGCTCACACTTCATATGTTCCCTCTCAAGCGATTTGCTATAACCAAAATAATGTCACAGAGATTTTGCACGTTCTGACTAGCATCTGCAAGATTTCGTGGTTCCTAGTTTTGCATCCTTGAAATTGTCATCACAAGTATCAGCGTCGTCCAGTGCAGCTGATGCTCTAAGATTTACGCCTAGATAATCACCAGATTTCAATAGACTTGTGGCCTCGCCGAGATCATCAATGGAATCACCATAGTTTTCCGAACAAGAATCATATATTCCCTTCAATCTGGTGTCAGTTGCATTTTGCTTGAGGGAATCGACAAGGGTTTTGGTTGACTTGGCGCTTTTTGTTGCCAAATCTATAGCAATTTGACCGAGACCTTTAAGATCTGCCCTGCGAGAACGAGGGTCTGATCTCAAAGAATTGGCGCAAAATTGAGGGTTTTTTGATGCAGTGCAAACATCACTGATCAAATCAGCTTCTGCAGAGGTAAAAAGATTGCTTAAAATTGATAGACAAATGAAAAACAAGGCTAACAAGGATGAGCTATGGCTCCTAGAGAACTCCATTATTTTCTCCTCTAATTTCTCTTCCTTGAAGTGTTGTTGTTCTTCTGTAATGTTCACACGATAATATATACTAAGTGATCTTTAAAATTATCACATGTTAAGTTGTTAACAAACTTGCAACTTGTACTCATCAAACATTTTTTTTGTAAAGGAGATCATGCCATCATTGGTGATGAGTACTCAACCTCGCATTTAGCCCCCACTAGGAAGCTGTGAAGTCATCTCTGGTTAATCATTTCTTCTTACTAATTCTTATGCGTGGTGACTTCTAATCGGAGCTACAACCCATTTTGATTGTCCATGATTATTTAGAGTAGTCACGTAATTCTTATAATGACAAACCAATACCAAAATGCAAATTGTAACTTGTGAAGTCGTAGGTCAAACTAGAAATGATGTCCTAGTCATAATCCTAATGATATACAAGTTGTTGGACAATTGTACTGATTCTTGCATATTGTGTGAATGAAAAACTGTTATCATGGATTTCAATCTTTGACATGAAAAGTTTAAATCCCTATATAGTAGGCATTATGCAAATTAGCTTAGATTTTCATCTCCTATTTTTGTACTTAAAAATGTGCTTTTGGGAGCTGAGGGTGATAAAACTGCTAATGTCTTGCTTTTGCATCTTGAAGATCATGGTAGGTGCAACCATTCCGTGTTAACAAAGTACAACTATTGTATACATGCATTATGATTGTCTTTTTTTTTATTTTGTAATGATTTTCGTGAGGGTTTGAAGATCATGAAAAGTACAATTACTAAATATTAATTACATCCGTAATGCATGATGATTACCTTACTCTGTTTTCTAAATGATTTACGTAAGGTTTTGAATAAAATGGGGCACACAGTTTATCAAAAGATGAAATAAAGACGCATAGAGTAGGAACGCATGCATCAGTGACGAAGCTAAAGAAATATTTCACGCGGTAAACACAATTTTTAACCTATTATTGTTATTACGCATGATTGAGGGCCAACTCAATTCGCACGCAGATTAGTTACCTCCTCGATTCATATTCAAGCTTGAGGTTCTCTGTTTATATTACACTTTTCTACATTACAATTTGTTATAAACTTTTAAAAGTCACAAATATCCTATGAAGAGAGAGATTTTAAAATTTGGATTGTTATTTATTGTTACATGGAACATGTATCATTCATATAAATAGTGTAACAAAACTGTAACAAGAAAAATTGTAACAGAGGATCCTTTGCTATTCATACGATGGTTAAGCAACATTTTGGCAACATTATGCCACTTAAGAAATGCTGTTACACTGACTTCCTTATGGTGAACTCACACACTGCAAGTCTGTAATATTGAAACTATTTTCAATAGTCAGGATCCCAAGATGGTAGGGTTGTTAAAAGCCTAGTTTAGAATCAATGTAAAGTCGATTTAGTTTTGAAGGGTCTGACTTTATACTTTGCTTCAATTCTTAGATTCATTTAAGCATTGAGATCAATAGATTGGTGATGAATTTGACAAGATTCTATTAAATTAGATTTTAACTCGTGCATTAATGCATAAGAAGTATATTTATTCAACAAATTAATCCACAGACAGTATTTACAGTGGTGGTTGATTCACATTCCAGAGGCAGAATCGAAATCAAAATCGGTGTTATAATGCCGATTATGCATATGAATTTTCGTCATTCACATTTACTCGTTTGTTTTGGAATCAGAATGGGTGTTATTTTCTCAATGAGTTAATTATGTTAATACTCAAATCATAAGATTAAAAGTAAAATTCATACTCAAGGTTCCAAAATCTGTTTCAATTCGAATTAGACTTAGTTGGTTTGAAATACGCAGTTATATATGGGTTAATACCACATTATCCCCCCAAACTTTGGACGATTACCCACTTCAGTCCCTAAACTTCAAAATGGGACACTTAAGTCCCTAAATTTATAAATACCTCCCATTTAAGGAAAATTGTTAACAAATCCTGAATGCCGTTGGTGATCGAAGTGTCCCATTTTATAAGGGTTTAGGGATTTAAGTGTCTCATTTTATAAGTTTAGGGAATTAAGTGGGAGGTATTTATAAGTTTAGGGATTTAAGTGTCCCATTTTGAAGTTTAGGGACTGAAGTGGGTAATCGTCCAAAGTTTGGGGGGACAAAGTGGAATTAACCCTTTATTTCTTAGATCTGTTTAACCATTCAAAAAAACAAAAGAAAATAGATCCACAATGAATTTTACTAGGTTGAACTAAACTAGATTTTTTTTTTTTAAATCAATAACAAGTATTAATTTTTTATAATATTTGTAATTTACAATACAAGACGTGATAACAACAACATACACATGTAAGTTTGGAACAACACAACCACATGCATGGGTTAAGGAATACCAACACCTAGAGACTCAATCCAGATCCAAACGAATAGGTTTTTGAATCTTTTACACAACCCTATAGGCTCAATCCAGATCCGAAGAACTTTTGGGCAGTGATATGATCAATGCGTTCTCCCATCTCACCTATCAGATAATTTTTCCAATCTCCAACCTTTCCTTTCCGAAAAAACATTTCATTCCTAGCAGTAGGCCGGGTCCCGCTCTTGTTCACCTCCAAATTGCTCAAGTTATCAAAGCTACAAAGCTCCAAAACCTCATCAACAAAACCACATGTCTCTTCCTCGGGTGAAATCGGACACCCCATGAACTCAGCTAAAAGTTTCAGATGAAAACTTGGCTTTTCCTGCAGCGCTTCATACTTCAAAAACAGGACCTTTTCAGGCTCCTCCAAGCTTTCTCTCCAGTAGCCTAAAACATGATCCCAAACTGGTCCAGAAAGGCTCACTCCCTCACAAAACATGTCGAAAAACTCTTCTAGTGAAGCTTCAGCCCCTAACTTCTTGGAGAAGTGCCAATATGAGACGAAAGTATCCTTAATATTTCTGCATAGGTAGACAATCTTGCAACCTGAATTCAGCACCGACTCGGGCAGTAGGGCAAGTGGATAGTGAGTCGAATATAGTCTTCCCAATGGACAAGAAAAGTCAGCGTTCATTTTTTCTGGCGAGAAAAAAAAAAATTCCATGAATGGCACCAGAGAGTGAGGATTTTGCTTGAGCAAAGGATGGTTTTGGTTGATTGGATAAATCTTTCGGTTGGCTAAGGTGAACATCAGGGCCTTCAACCATGTGGTGCCTGATTTGGGAGTGGTAATTAGTAAGACATCAGTGTCCCGAGCTTGGAAATGGTTTTGGCATGCAATGAGCCCCGGCAACCCTTTAGGACCGAGCCAAAAGCCATTGTACTTGTACAGATAAGAAGAACCAAACCATCTCTCTCTAGGGAGGGTTGACAACAGGTTCTTGCAGTATTCTTGCATTAGTTCCTCTTGTTTTTGATCTGTTGAGCAAGGAACTAAGGATGCAGTTGTGGACATATTGGCGCTCTTAGAATTTTAATGAATCTACTTGCTCCAAGTCTCATGTCCGTCGGTGCTTTTGTAGACTATTATATAGCTTCACGGACTAGTGAACCAACTAAACTAGATTTAAATGTGTGTATTAAACTATATAATCATCATAGCATTTCCTTCTTTCAATCTATATCATCCAACAAAATTATTTCATTAAAACTTAGGGCAAAATACACTTTAACCCCTTGTGATTTTGTGCTTTTTCACACAATTTTTCTATGATTTAAAAAATTATACAGAACCACCTCATAATTTGGATTAAAGTGTCAAAATGACGAAATTTTGCATAACGAAACCAACTAAAATGTCAAAAGTATCCCTATATAAAATTAAAAATTATTTATTAACCACAGAGGGGCTATATATAAATTTTAAAAACCATGAGGGAGTTATATAGTAAAATATAAAATCATACAGATTTAGAGTGTTATGTGTATTATGTTTATATATTTTGGTTATTTCAGTCATTTTAGTTTTTAAATAAGAGTAATTTCAGCATTTTTATGGGTTTCGTTACAAATTATCATTTCCATCATTTTGACACTTTAATTCAAATTATGAAAGAATTACATATAATTTTTTAAACTATAGAGGATTATGTAAAAAATTACTAAACTATAGGCAGGTAAAGTGTGTTGTGCCCTAAAGCTTATAAACTATATAGAGCCATGACACATCTCATATTAAAAATGTAGCATTAGGTGACCTCTCATATTCTTCCGAGCCTTTTCTCACTTCAGGCATCCAATTACACATCATCCCCAATTATGTAGCCATGACCTATCGGCTATCACCATGCTTTAATAACTGAAAATTGTCAATTCGTATTGTAAGACACGTAAACTATTCCACAATATTTTAATCAAACTCTGAACTCACAAGAATCGAGTAGCCAAGATTTTAAACTAGCAAATTAGAAAGAAAACCATGACTTTCACGAAAGGTGAAAGGGATTCACCGATTAATAAAGTGGACGTCCAGAATGAGGCCATGTTTTCAACATTAGTCTTTCGATTGGCTGAGAAAATGGACGTGCACATCTAATAGTTGGCGTGTTTGGATGGTCCATTATCTGTAAATACTATGCTATTTTGTTTGCAAGATAAACATTTTTTCTTTTTCTTTTTATTTTACATATATCAAATCACAAAAAGCATTAAAGTGCTATAGTAAAATTAATTTTTTTTAATAGAGTGTCTATTTGTTTAGAATTCTTCAAAAATCATTTCCAACAAAAATGTTTTGAATTTCATTTTCTTTTTCAATTTTTTTTGTTTGCTAACCTTGTAAAACATTTTCCAGTGCTCCGTAGTTGGGCAATTGCCCTCCATTAACTTTGGAAAAGTAGACATTTTGGCTAGTAAAAAATTCTTAACATTATTATATTACCTCACACTTGCAGCCCCTGAATTTTTTAGATTCTTTACCTTTTGTATTGCTTCCGTTACATTTTCCTGTTATTCTTTACTTTGCACCTTAGAGAAAAAAAATACTTTGACCTTTATCATATTGAATATTCAAATTTTTTCTAGGGAAATTTACCAAATTAGTCCCTAACATTTTCACAAAACACTTTTTTAGTCCCTAACATTTAAAATCAGTCAGAATAGTTCCTAACATATAAATTATGAGCCAGTTTGGTCATAATGCTCGTATTTGCTCTTTTTTCCGGCTAAAAATAGTACACCGGCGTAATTTCAAGGGCAAAATCGGAAAAATTCGTTAATCCATAATTTTGCAGCCCTCAAACTCTTCAATTGATTCTCAACCTACTGCTACTAGGATGGAGAATTAACAAGAAAAATTGAATGAAAAGACAGAAATATCAAAGACACCAAAAAGAAGTTTCAAGAAATATCAAAACCATCAAGAAAAAGTTTCAATCTCGAACAGAAGATTAATGGGAAATCTACTAACCTGGCTAGAGGCTATGACAACAGGGTCAATCATGAGTTGTCCAGAAAGAGGACATCTAAATTCCGGAGGTGGAAAATTAAGCAAAAGGCTTTGTGGGTTGGAAAGCTTCAGCTTCAATTCTTTCAAACAAGACAGAGCCTGCATCTGTCACAATCAGCGGCTTCCAATGCATAATCATCTTCTTCCACAATACTCTGTACCAATATCTGCAGTTCCCTCATATTGATTGCTCAAATTTGGTAAGAAAGCTGTTGGATCATTTTGGCAAGTCCACAGGCTATCTTTGCTTGAACGGAGCCCATATTCCTCCGTCTCTATTCAGCCATTGACCCAATCTCTTCTTCTGCTTCTGACTTCGTAAAATCATCCGTCCTTGCTCCTCTTAACCAAGGAATCAGCAACATGGGTTCTCTCAGGCAGCTATGGTTATTGAGAAGAAGACCCTTTTCAGTTTGGAAATCTCTGAATTCGATATCAATTTCAACAAAGAACTCATTTTTATCTTCTTATTTGGCAAATAATTCTCTGCACCTTCTTAAACCCACAAAGCCTTTGGAAAGCTTCAGCAAAAGGGAGAGAATCAATTGAAGAAGTGGTGCAAGAGTTTGAGGGCTGCAACATTATGGATTAACGAATTTTTTCGATTTTGCTCTTGAAATTATGCCGGTGTACTATTTTTAGTCGGAAAAAAGAGTAAATACGAGCATTAGGATCAAACTAGCTCATAATTTATATGTTAGGAATTATTCTGACTGATTTTAAATGTTAGGGATTAAAAAAGTGTTTTGTGAAAATGTTAGGGACCAATTTGACAAATTTCCCGTTTTTCTATGGCATTAGAGAAAATCTTAAAATTTTGTAATTTAATATTAATAACAAGTAAAATGTCTCATTTGCATTTCTTGTTGACTTGCATTTTTCAAAGTGGTTGAATCCTATAATCTCATGATTTTTTCCCTCTCGCCTATGGTCTACAACGCTTTTTTGTTTTAATGATTTAATTTATCACCACAACCTCGTTTTTATTTTAGATTTGGGCCTCCTCCATAATCCAATTCTTGTGTTTGGACATATAAATTAGCCATACATTCTTAAAAACAGTGTGCTCTAGAAAAATATGTGGTTGATATTGGGTTGTAAACGAGTCGGTCCTAATCGGAATTGGTAACTCTGAACCTTGGATTGGATTAATTTTGGATCCAGATTCGTTCACCCAATAGGACCCAATATGTAATTCCAAGTCTGGTTGGATATGGATTCGAACCGGATACAGTGGTCCATAAAAGCAATTCAATGATAAAATTTAGATAACTTGATAATTTCGTCTGGCACAAATTTTTTTTTTCATAAAATTCATGGTACAACGAGTCTGAATTGGGTTGGAACATATATTGCCATGTCCGACTTGTTTAGAATGTAGATATATCAAATCCGGGTCCGATTGGATAAACGGGTCTAAGCAGTTTTGTGAATTTCAGCTGGATCCGTGGTCCGACCCAATTTATTGACAGCCCTAGGTCTATATATACTATCGACTTTTAGATTGTCAGACTCTAAAATTAGCAAAGAATATTGTTTCTGCTTTACTTAATTGCAGCAGAGACAAGCCAATGAAACTATGTTAGAAGTATGTCATTTTCACTGGGAAAAATTCATAATATGCACGGCAAATTGAACTACAACTAAGATTGCCCTCAGTTGATTATTTTAATTAATTATAGATCCTAATTTTGAAAATCAAATTTTTTATGTTCATGTTTGCTTTTGGTTTTAGATTATAAATTTTTTTAGTGGCCACAAAAAAGCTAAAATCCAGAATTTACTAAACTGTAGTTTTTCTTGATTCTAATTATTTTCTATAATTATTTTCCATAATTAGCTTTTGCAAAATCTAGAGCAAATAAGAACAAGCCCATTGACAGGTTTTTTATATAAGTACAAGTTTAATTCGAAATATACCCATTTTGACTGCAAATATACAGGTCAAATTAATAGTTTAGGGCAAATATCAGGTCGATCCCACGAGGAAAATTGAACAATTACCTGCACTACTAAAGTTTCTCTATTATTTAGACGATCAATGAATTAAAAGAAATAAAACTATGCTAAACTTATGCAAGATAATAACAAATGAAAACTCCTTAGGTTATGGTATTCCTAACTACTCATGCAAATGCTATTTTTGGATTATTGATTACTACTATCTTGGCTAGCTATGGCATAATTTTCTTATGCATGTGAAACCTACTCTCGTAGTAAATCAACTATACTTATAACTAATCTATACCTACTCTCGTGGATATGAAAGCTACAAGTTAATTACCTCTATGAAATTACATGAAATGAATCACTAAAACCACAAAAGTGCACCACTACTCTCGTGAGTGTACTCCCTAGGTTTAACACTTCTTGAACTAGTGTTAGATCTCAATTTTCATTGAAGACACAACACCTTTAAATAATCACAATTAATGGTACCAATTAATCATGATTTAGAGAGCTAAAGTGCTAAATAACTTGTTCAAAATAATAGCTTCAAATAGCTAAATAATAAACACTAACAATCATAGAAAGTTCAACTAAACCCAAGGCATAAACTTTAGAAACACATAATAACATATAAATCCATAACTTGTATATTAACTAAACTTAGAATCAAGCACAAAAGATAAAGAGTTTGGAAAGAAATGTAACCCTTGTCACATGTATTCATCTCCTCCATCTTCATCTTCTTCTTCATCTTTGCCTAACTAATAAACAAGAAGGATGAACTACTAGTTAAACTATCCTATATTATACTAACCTAATACTAAGAAAATGTAAGAACTACATTTTTGTGGTATTTCTTGCATTCTCCAAGCTCTCTTGATCCTTGCAAGTCCATGGCTATTTATAGATAAATGTAGTTAAGAAATGAGGCTTCAAACATCCCTTTTATAGTTGCTAAGTGGTTGTCACATGCCCATCAATAGCTGTGAATTTTTGGAGAAGGAAACAAGTTGTGCAAGTGGAGAGCAGCCATTTCTGACCAGAATCCGGCCGGATTGCTCCCCTGTCTTTCTTTGGAATTTCTGTTCAGTCTTCAAGGCATTCTAATTTTGCATCAACTTCAACTGAACTTTTCTTGATGATAGAAGCTGAATTAATTCTTGACCAAAACATAAAACTTGTATCCCTTTGAGTTAACTTTCCAATTCATTAAGAATCATTTCATTTGGATTTGTGTAGGCTGAGAAATTACTGAAATACCCTTCATTGCTCAATGCCTTCTTTCAGCTTCGACCGTAGAAATTGGCTATTATAATTTGGCTTTTTGACCTAGAAAACCTTCAAACTGAATTTCGATGTCTCACATGAATTGTAGATCTATTTCTTATCTTCAAAATGGTTCAAGAATCATCACAATCCGATCATAACCGAAATACAAAGATGTGTCAAAACTGTCAACTTGCTTTTCATCCAAATGAAGTATATTTCCAACTCCTATACAAATTATGGACAAAATGCAAGTAAAAGTGACAAAAATCTCATTTAATCACTTAAGAGCATTTTACACCAATTATAGCCAAAATGATCCATTTTCTTCCTATAATATTGCCAAAGTGACTAAAACTAACATAAAATGTCATTCAAAAATAGCTCAAATTAGTCACTTATTACCCATAATAATGGTCCTTTCCCTGAATTTTCCATAGATGTGTAGTATATAACAACAAGCACAGTAAACTGACAAACAAGCAATTAAAAACCTTCGACAGTTAGTCTTCAACCGTTAATTTGCCAAATACTTTTTCAGATAAAACTCGAAAGCAAAAGATTTGTCTTGATCTAGACATTTTCAGTGCTTGAAACAGATTTTTCATGACATGGAGAAAATTGATTAGAGTTTGGCTTGAAATGAAGCAACATCAATAGTTGCTAGTGAAAGAAGCTCGTCCGGGAGCATAGCCATTTCATCCTCCACCATGGTAATCCATGCTTCGATCCCATCACCTGAATTTGTACTCATCAAGATTACACTATTCTTGATAGGGGGAGCTTTAATCCTCACTGAAATAGGTTTGCCAAAACCATAGTCCACTCCATATTCCGGAAAACTGCACAAATTGGTGAAAAAACAATATGCCATTGGCTCCTTACCAAGCTGTTCCCCTGCAGCTTTTAAGATATCTAAAAAAGGCACTCCACTTTGAAGAATCTTTATATAATCATTGTTGATTATTCTAGTTGCATTCCTCAGGTGCCCAACTAGATCATCACAGTATTCTTTATCATTATCATCTGTATCAGAAACTGTCATTAAAGCAGGAGTAGCAATTGAGAAGTTGCCAAATGCAAGCCGGTCAGAGGGCAAGTTCATTCTAGGTCTCATTTTCACGGCTTGGAATGCAAGAAAATTTGTTTTACGATTTTCCTTGGCCTGGGTAACGAGGATGAAATGCTTCAATATAAAAGCGGTAATGGCTTCAACCAGAGTAGGATCCTTCACCGAACCTGTGGAGGCGACTGAGGAGGCAAATTTCTTGCCTGCTGCCAACTTTTCTTGTCGAACACAAACCTTTTGGTCAGAAGAGTTTCTTTCTTTTCCCCTGATACAAAATCGATACTAGATATTGGGAGTTTCTTGGAGGAAAAAGACGGCATCCTAATTCAAAATCAGTTGCACAATTTCATCACCTTTGCCACAGCATGTGGCAGCCCAAGCATTCATGAATGTCGCACAGGACAAAACGTCAGCTATCTTATGTGACATGCATACCCCAATAGCTATTCCTCCGCATTCAAAGAAGCTGATTTTGATAGCTAATGGCAAGTCATTTTTGCCCAAAGGTTCATAAGGCTCTAAGGGGAGAAATTGGTTTGGATCCTCTGTTGTTTGGATTGCCTGTGAGAGATGAGCACGACTCGAGCTTCTATAAATAAAGCTCCTAAGTCATCACAATCAACAGAAAGATTTCCATTGATCTTTCCTGCTAAAGGGTAGAGTTTTGTCAAGATCTCTGATAAAGAATGTTTTAGATGCTGCGATATTTCGGCTTGATCGAAGCATGGGGAGGAGTTTTGATAGAATAAAACAGAAGGAATTAGAGTAGAAGGTGAAAGTTGATCCAGGAAAGACAGTTTATGGTCTCTACTGGCACGGGGTGTTGGAGATGATGGCTTGATCAACTCAATTGATGTCACCTCTATGTTGCCCATCATCTTGCTTGTTGCAATTCTTAGGTATTTCTTCAGGCCCCCAAATCCAGCAATATATATACCTTTGATTCTTTGAAGGCCTGATTTGTAATGTACTATCAGAATTGGAGAAGGAACTTCATATATGTCGAATAGAAAAGGTCATACTTTAAATCTCTTTTTGTCCCATTAATTCGATTGGAAATTGTCAATTATTTATTCTTCTGGTCTGCAATGCTTGTGGAACTTTTCTGTTTCAAATATGGGACCGTCATTTCCAGTTGTCATTTTGCCAAAATACTTGAGCTCCGAGGTAGTCAAATTCGGAAATGCCAAATATCAATCATACACAGGATACTACTTACTCGGTACAAGGTTGGGCATTTTTGGAATTATCTGTGACAATTACATTATACAACGCATGGAGTAACACAACAAATAGAAAAATAATATGGTAAATATAGATATTAAGACATCCAGATGTAAACCTTGTATTAGTATCTCCATAAAAATGTTTTTTTTTATGCTATTAGTATTTATCTCTATTGTACCAGTACTGATATTAGATGATGCAATGCAATTACTGTTAGCAATTGCAGTGGTCCTTGATCCAATCCAAAAATGAGTTAAGGGGGAAAAGTATCAAAACATAATCAAGCACAGAAATTTGCAATAAGAGATATAAACTACGTTTTTGTGCTTTAAAAAGTCATTTCTTTGTTTTTTTTTTTTTGTTCTAAATGAGAGGACTTGAAGCCAAGATCTCTTATTTACAACTCTTCCCTCCTTATCAGCCAACCTAACCCTCCCAAAAAGTGGTGTTAAAATTGCTAATTTTCTATTTTTGCATCTTGAAGATCATGATATGTACAACCATTTCTATTCAACTATGTTCTACTATTAAGGACAACCATCATGATTATCTTATTTTATGTTTGGATGCACTGAGTGTGGCTTTGAAAATAGTGGAAGGTGCAAGCATAGTTAGACCAATTAGTACAATTTAACCATAATCAGGGGTGTCTAGGGCTCAAAACTTGGATATGACAGTTGGGATGGTGTAGGAGGGTGAAAAGAAAACAGAACAAAGAAAAAAGGTACAACTACTAAGGGCATCCACAATGCTATTACACCTTATGGAGTGTAATCCACATGCCACGTCAGCATTACACTTTCTCCTCTTTTATTACACTTTCACTCACAATGGATTACACTCCATAAGGTGTAATAGCATGAGTCCACAATTAAATCAAATATTTATTTTAATAATGCCTAACTCATATCCCATAAATAAAAAAGTAATTTTTAAAAATACTTTTGTTACTTTTAAAAAATAAAGTACTAACTTTCATTAAATTTTTTACCTTTTGAATTTTTTATTTTCTAAAAATGATATTATTAATTTTTAAGTTTGAATAATATATCTTTTTCTATCTCTCAAAAATAATATATTGTTATTTTTTTCAAAAATAATTATGCAGAAAATTAAACAAATATTTGATACCTCAAATGCGAAGATATCATAATAATCCATACTTAATTAATAATTTGAAATGTAATTAGTTGAACTCCATAACATAATATTACATAATTTAAATCAAATAAAATACAAATAATAACAATGGGATTACAATAAAATGATTATGGGTCCCACAGCATCATGGATTACACGCATCATAATCTCCATGACACGGCTCCAATGGGAGACCGTGTCATGGAGCGGTGTAATGGGGAGCCATTACACCCGCGTTGTGGATGCCCTAAGTACGTACTAGTCACATCTCTAACGCATGATAAGTGTCTTGTTCACTTTTTGAATGATTTGCTTGTGGTTTTGAATCAAATGATATGTACAGATTCCTCAGAAGATAAAGACATATAGAGTGGGAATGCATGCATTAGTGAGGGAACTAAAGAAATATTGCATGTTGTTAAGCAGGATTAGATCGAACTCAATTGGGAAGTGGAATGTCACCTTCTTTGTTGATATGATTATACCAACATTGTGGTTAAGCAGGATTTTGGCAACATTTGCACATGCCAACTAGTAACCTGCTTGACTAATATAGTTACCCTTTTGCTGACTTCACACAATGTATGATACCAGGTATAGATCCCATTTCATATTGAAATAAGTTTAATGCGCAGTGCCCCAAAATGTAGGATTATTAAAGGTTCCATTTGGACCTATTTCATTAATCCAAATTAGTTTAATCAGGTCTGAATTTATATGTATTTCCAATTCTTAGATCCATCAATAATTAAGCATTGATATACTTGGATCGTACTAAATTTTAGTAGATCCAATTGAACTAGAAAAAGTATATTTGTTCATTGAATTAAAGCATGGAAAATAAATTCATTTTACAAAATAGCCACAGTATTATTTCCATATTTTTGTTGACAATGTTCAACAAAATAGCTACAATTATTGGCAGAGTGATTCCTATACTGCCAAAATAAATTTGCTCTCTCAGAAGGAAATGCCACCTGGGTCAAAATCTTTTCTTATTGTGCGCTTGTTATATGGTTATAACAAATTGACTAGTCAAGATTTCCCCATGTCACAACCAGTTTTCCTTCTTTTTTTTTTTCATTTAAAGAAAGGAATGCCAACACATTACTAACTCTTTGTTTTAACTCACCAAATTTTTTACTAACAATTGCTTTCATGTCCTCCCTTCCTCATATATTTACTCTCGCAACAAACACCGTAAAAGGACCAATAATAATAACCAATTTCCTGCTCGGCTCATGGCATGTAAAAGGACTTTTAGGCTTCAGATTGCAGTAAATTTCATCTGACTCAAGATGCTCTGATTTATGCTATAGATACTGTTGGATTAATACTAGTGTCAAGGGAATTAGAATATTAGGGTTCAGAAAGGAGGTATTTTAAGCGTTGCATCTCAGGACCAACCTTTTCTCTTAGTATTGTCCTGTTCATTAAGAACCAAGATTGATGTTTACTGCTGCGCAACCCCAGAATTAAATAATAACAAGACCAATAAAGATTAGTATCATACTACAGATATAGTTCAAATATCTTCAAGTACTTAAATCAACCGATTAGTATAAAATATGGTAGTAAAATACAACTCACTCTGACAAGCAAGACGCGGTTGTCTTACAAGACAAATATCATTTGTCACAACAACCAAGTCTTTAAATTATATATTGACCAGACATATAATTTCTCTCAACAACCAAGTCTTGATATTTAAGTTAGGATTATGAATTAATCTTCCGTACATCATTAGCGCAAAGTCTTTTTTACATGAGTGGATTTGGATGCACACTGTATGCACAAAAGTAGAATTATAAATTTAGGGCTTGTTTGGCAAACAAATTTTTGGCCAAGTTTGTCTATTATAAGTTCTTTATCAACTTTAACTACAATAACCTCAAAAAACTTCAAAAATTTTAAACTATACACTTCAAAATATCCAAATATTTACACATGTACACTTCAAAAAATTTTCTTATAATTTCTACAATAAGTTACATTAAAGTTTTAAATAAACACTCAAAAAACTTATTTACCAAACAGGATCTTAAATGGACCATATGTATCATGTATTCACATTTGCTTGCATAAAGATATGTTTCCACTAAGTGTAGTCAATAATTCAAGAAAACCTTTGAAAAGTTAGAAAATGTCCATGCTCAATAGTGAGTGCAAAGCATTTTTTTTGGGAGGGAGGGGCAGAGGAGCAGGGAAGAATGGGTTGGGTGGTATGGAGGGAGAAAATATAAATGAGAAATCTTGGATTCGAAACCTCCCACTTATACTAAAAAACAAAGGGAGTGCAAAGCATTTCCATGTCTAACAGTGGAATGGTCAAGGAAAGCAAAATGCCTATGCCTGCATATTATGCATTAAGTCCGAATAGTTACACAAATTTTGTTCTGTAAAAGATAATGGTACAAACCTTTCAATTTGCAAAACCTCAAAAATTTTGTCGCGCGATTTTTGAGTTTGAGGACCATGCTTATATTAGTGAAAATTGTCAGACGAATATTATTTTTTTCCCCTGAATCTGCGGAAGGAGTACTTGCTAGGAGAGCCACCAACAAATTCGTCTGAGGTAACAAGCTAACTTTTTTTTTCTTTGGTAAATTTTCCTTCGAAAGGCAGTAAGGCATTGCTAATAAGCTGTCTTAACTTGTTTATGCATTTGACGTTTTGGGATGGTAGACCTCTTTTAAACGTTATCTAATATAATAATCAGCTAAAGTTCATACTTCAATCCTTAGCTAAATTACATTTTAGACCCTTAAACAATTCAAATACTAGGGGTGTTCATGAATCGGATAACCAATCCATTTACAATTTCGCTGACCCTAATCGCAGGTAGCAGTTCAGCAAAATCGTATTCCATATCCTAACCCTATTCAATTGCTTAATCGCTTACTGTTTAACCTACAAGATAAGGTCCAATATACAGGATAAGCTAATCCTCTTATACGTGTAGAAAAAAAAGTAAAACATAATTAGATTAATGAAGAAAATCACAATAAAAGAGTTGTCTAAATTAATAAAATATTTAGCCCTACAACTCTAAAAATACCACCAACAAGATAGAAAATCAAAACACAATAGATAATTAAAGTATAAAATATTCCAAACATTTATTTTGTTTTTGCTACTTCTTGAAAACTATTAGTTCATTTTTTATTATGGATGACAGATTGCTTTACAACAAAAAAATGTAAGCTCTAAAATTGAACACAAAATAAATAGTGTGGTGAAGTGGATAGAATTTATAAGAAAGAAAAAAGAATTTTGACGAAAGAGGAAAAAGTAGTAGAATAAATGAAATTAGTGGCAACGATAACAGGAAACGGACAAAGTAAATGGAAGATAGGGTTAAATATACAAATTTATAAGTTGTGAAAACAAAATGTATGATGGCATGGAGCTCACAACTTAAATTATTAGTAAATAATTAAATAATTATGGATTGAGATTTGGATATTGGTTATCTTAACCAACCTTGCATATGTGAGTAGGATCAGATAACTGCGACTTTTGAAAAATTGAAAACCACACTGATGGAGTCGCGCAAGCTGTCTAACCTACTCAAGGTGCTCAAGTCAATCCCGTGCACATCCCAGTGGATCCAATAACGTGTGCTCGTACCAAGAAACTCCAACCAGTGATTCAAGCTGTTCAAGACTCAATTGGAGTGCGTAGCGTGTATCAAAAAGGCTTTCGATGGGAATTTGCCTTTGGTCAATCTCATTCAAGTTGCGGATGTCGGAGGAGCGTGAAGTCCGAAATTTTCCAGCTTATAACTTAGTTAATTTGTCATTATTTTGGTTAATTAGTACATAAGAAACGGACCAGCTTTGGTCTTGCTTGGATCCGCTACTTGTAGTATCTTAATGGGCCGGATTTGAGGTCCAAATACGCTGGTTATTGTTAGTCCAAGTTTAGTTAGGATTTCTGTGTGTCAAAGACATACAAAAGCTTTGTTTGTTGGGAATGAAAGGTACGACATAATTTTCCAGCAAATTAACTTGAGAGAAACGTTCTCTTGGCTTTTCGAGCACTCTTGAACACTTTAAAATTTCCTTTAGCGTTCATTACAGCTTATCAATCAAGAAATCACTTTTGATTGCAGCACCAACTATCTTCCTAGGGTTCACTCGTTCGTTTAATTGTGAGTCAAAATCATATCAACATTTACAACTAAGGGGTTAGAGGAGTCTGTATAGGAATTCTGCTATCAAAATTGTGTCAATCACCAAGGTTTGGGGCTTATTTGTCGCGAGTTTCATAACACCGATGGGGTTTGTATCACATACCCTAACATAATTTTCAATTAGGTTCGATTACCCTTTTTTAAAAATTATAAGTTGGTTACCCTATTTTTCGGTTTGAACCAATTCAACTTTCTCGAACACCCATTTTTTCAGTTCTTTTTTAGCACCCCAAACAGACACAACCCTATTTTAATCATTAAACTTCATTTCTATATAATTTATATTCTAAAGTGTGAAATTCATCCACTTTAGTTCTTAAATTTGAACTTTGGATTTTTTATCCCTAAATTATAATATTCATCTCATGAAATTGTCAAAACTAATGAAAGGGTAACCATGTGATGCTCAAACTTTAAAGACTGTAGTAGGATAGATTTCATATTTAGATAGTGAAGTTTCCAAAGGTGAAGTTTGAGGACTAAATAAGATGGATTTCTTACTTTAAAGTGTAAAATGTCTAAAAATGAAGTTTAGGACTGAAGTGGAAGTGCATCTATAATTTAAGGATCTAAAGTGAAATTTAGCTTCAATTTTTTCTTGGAAGCCAATTAGACAAAATTTTAGATAAATTACTCCTAATCCCCTTATGCTTCTGCATAATACCACATGACCCCTTAAGTTTCAAAATATTTAAATAATCCTTTGTAATTTTATGTAAAGTTAAAGATGGATAGAAAGCATTTACACTTAGAGTAGGTAATTGATTGAGATGCACTCCAAAAGTGCGTGTGATAAATTATAATATCCATTTAACCCTCCATGAATTTGCATCTATCCATATAATCTATCAATGATTTCATGCAAAGTATTTGTATCCTTATTCAATTTAGTGCTTACTAATATTTCAACTAACAACGTTATAAAAACTTTTTTTTTATCAAATTTCTGCTTTGTATAAAACTACAGGGGTGTTACATCAATATTTTTAGAACCTTAAGGGGTCATATGGTAATTATGCAAACGCACAAGAAAGCTATGAATAATTTACCCCAAAATTCTTCGGTTCAATTAGGCAATAGTGTTCAAGGTTGCAAAACCATATCTTTTGAGGCTTCATGGCATTGCAGATTCACGTGTTGCATAAATCTTATAGTATAGGACAAAGTAGTTGGCTAGCTGCTCTTTTCTTAGCTCCTATTTAGTTGATCCATTCAGCTTAGTCTTCGCAGTGTACTCAATCTACGGTAGGTTTAGATATCCTATTTTCAAGAAAAAGATGAAACCGTGAGATTTCCAGATTTCAGTTATCTATGGGGGAGACAATGAAAGAATCTAATACGTTTAGAATTTTGATGTTCCCATGGCTGGCTCACGGCCACATCTCTCCTTTCATAGAACTATCAAAGAGACTAGCCAAAAACAAATTCAAAATATACTTCTGTTCAACTGAGATCAACCTGAACTTCATCAAGGAAAGTAAAAGCTTTGATGAGAACTCCTCTGATCATTCAATTGAATTAGTACGACTTGATTTGCCAGATTTCCCCGAACTCCCTCCACACTATCACACCACCAAAAACCTCCCACCCCATCTCACCTCAACCCTCAAGCTTGCTTTTCGTATGTCAAAACCCAGCTTCAGCAACATCCTCAACACTTTGAAACCTGATTTGCTAATCTACGATGTTCTCCAATCATGGGCAGCAGAGCTGGCTGCTTTTAATAGTATCCCTTCAGTTCTTTTCTTAATCATAGGAGCAGCAAACATTTCTTTCTTCTATCATGGCACTAATTGTCGAGTCTCCGGTACTAATGAGACTTACCCTTTCTCAGAAATATTCTTCAGGGACTATGAAATGAAGAAGATTATAGCCACGTACCAAGAACTGACAAAACTTGAATCTGAAGAAGCTGAAGTTTTCAAATGTTTTGAACTGTCTTCTGATATTGTTTTGGTGAAAAGCTGGACAGAAATTGAGGGGAGATATATTGATCACTTATCTTTATGTTCCGGGAAGAAGGTGGTATCTGTTGGTCCTCTTAATAACCAAGATGATGATACCAAGGAGGAGGAGGAGCAGGAGGATAATTCCCATATCATCAAATTTCTGAATAGTAAAGATGAATCATCAGTGGTTTATGTTTCTTTTGGAAGTGAATACTTCTTGTCAAAAGAAGAAAGGGAAGAGATAGCATATGGGCTGGAGCTGAGTAATGCTAACTTCATATGGCTAGTTAGATTTCCCATGGGACATGCCGTTGCCCTTCAAGAAGCATTACCGGAAGGGTTTCTTCATAGGGTGAAAGAGAGAGGAATAGTGGTGGATGGATGGGCACCTCAGGCAAAAATTCTTCAGCATTCAAATACTGGTGGTTTTTTGAGTCATTGTGGATGGGGCTCTGTGATGGAAAGCATTTACGATGGGGTGCCATTGTTAGCGTTGCCCATGCAGCATGATCAACCTCTTAATGCTAGACTTGTGGTGGACGTTGGCTTTGGTATTGAGATTTTGAGGGATGAAGATGGGCAGATAAAGAGAGAAGAGGTCGCTAAAGTCATAAACATGGTGGTTGTGGAGAAGACAAAAGCAGGAGAATTATTGACGCAAAAAGCCAGAGAAAGGGTGAATTCTTAGTTTATGATGAAAAAAAAAAGTCATTCTATAACTGGGGCGATTTTTGCAGGTTTTTCTACAAATGGGGTGTTCGTATTCCGCGAATGCGAGCTCACTCCAGGAATGCGAAGTCACTGCAGTGAGCTTTCCGTGAAATTTCTTTTTCTTTTCCTTTTCAACTACCAAACAAATAACATGCACTTCATAAAAATAACTTATATAATTTTTTAAAATAACATCGCGTTATGAAATTTCTAAAATTACAGTTGAAATTGTAACAGATATTAATGACTATTAACTATTACATTCTTATAACTAATATTCATCGGTGTCAACAAATAAATACGATTCATTAATAACAAAGGAAAATTAGAATTTGATAAAAAAAATTTATTTCATAAAAAAGGAAAATAAGTTAGTATTTTTTTCATAAAATATAGTCAACACCTTACATGTTAACAATTTCATTCTATTTTTACATTGATATATGAAATAGATAGAAAGAACTATGCATGTGTACTTTTTCCACCATTTAAATGTATTATAATAACTGTACAATTACCAATTTTTTTTAATATAAAAGAAATATGATTTTTTTTAGAGCACATATTTGATGACTTTAGGCACGTGCAAGTTTTAAAATAAAAAAAATTTATTCCTCTGCTAATTACAGATTTTTAAATAACATTTCTCCGAAATATAAGATTTTAGTAGAGCTTTTAAAATAAGATTTTACTACCGATAGCATTTTAGTAAAGGCAAATTCTACAAAACAAACAACATTTACAGTTAATTTTACATTTTTTTGGGAGCTCGTAAATTTCATTTTAAATTTTTTTTTCTAGCAAGTTTGAATTTAATTTTCTGAAAGTCATACTTATAAATGCGAAATCTAACAAAAAAATTAAATACCATTTTTGGAGGTCAAATTTATCAAATGCAAGCTATTTGAAGAATTTTTAAAAAAAACATTTAGGAGCTCGCATTTAGCTCTTACTATTTTTTGGAAAAAATTCTCTAACTCGCAAAAAAAAAAGCAAAAAAATTTAAATTATACTTAAGCTCGCATTCGCGGAATGCGAGCTCTACTTATAGAGCTCGCATTCGCGTAGAGCTCGCATTCCGCGAATGCGAGCTCAATAGAGCTGTGCTCAATAAGTAGAGCTCGCATTCCGGGAATGCGAGCTCAATAGAGCTGAGCTCGCATTCACGGAATGCGAAGACCCCCTACGGAATATCCCACCAAAATCACCCCTTTTGTAGAATTTTTTTAAAATTCATCACAAAATTGGAATTTTCTCGCCAGAGAAATGAGTAACAACTTGAGAGAAGAAGGAGAAGAAGAGTGGAATGAAGCAGTAGGAAAAGTCAGGAATTTATGCAGAAAGAACGTGTAGCAGAAGTGTTGAATCTGAGAATTGATCATATTAATGTACCTTAATGTTTATGATATGAATTGAATATTTTTAAGACGGATACTGTATTGGAATATTGCTCCACAAACTGGAATCAGGATCTATCTGGTGCATGATTTTCTTGTTGCATGTACTTGATCTACAACATCCTTACAACTTTTTTATCAATATTTTTTCTTTTCGGTTTTCTCGAGCCAATTATACTAGGTGTCTTTATTACGCATTTAGAATCCGCTGACTCTATTGTAAAGCATTTGATTCTTTATGTCAATAAAAATCATTTTATGTATATATATTAGGCAGACTAATTAATTTTCATTAGAGTTTAAGGAATCGAGTGCCAAGTACCAAAGCATGGTCATTTTTTAATAACATTAGTCTTAGTAGCTTATTCATGTAACTTCTTACTTTGAGTGAATAAATTTTAGATTGCTACGTTCTTCTCATCTATTACCTGATTAGGAGAAGAAGAATAAGGATACATGTACTTGGTGACACATATGCTCCCTACACTTACGAGCACACGAATTTGTAGTGTACCTTTACCAGATTTAGTAATACTAAGAAACTTTTTTTTTACTCTTTTTTTAAGGGGATTTCATTACTCAAATTCCGGTTTGGCTTTTAATATCATTTGCCGTTTCTACTGGCATCCAAATATCGAAGAAAAACACTGTTGGAAAATGGAAATTTAGCCAAATGAAACCCTTTTCTTTCTTCTATTCAAGGAACACTCTTGGGCTTTACAAGAATACACAAAACGGGGTGTGTCCATTAAGTTGGGCCTGTGCACCATGACAACAAAAATCCCCAGAATTGACATGATGCACAATGGCCCAATGGACAATCTACACCTAAAAGTTTCTTTGGATTCCATTAACACAGAAACAAACATTTAACACGATAATAAATTAAATGGGCGGTACTGTTACTTTTGTGATTTGGACATCCTTTTTAGTAGAATTGCAGTAGGCGTCTTGGTCCAATTGATTGTGGGCTTTGCAGTAAATTTCATGTTTTCTTAGCACAAATGCATCATTGCAGTTTAATGGAAATTCTACTTTGCACTTTTAAACTTTCTCACTTGTCACTTTGTTCCTCAAATTTAATGAATTTAGAGTACTTTTGCGCCGTAAACTCTTTGACTTCTTCCACTGTGGTCCCGTTATTTGTGATCCACAGGATGTTAGTTTTCTGTAATCATTAATAATTGGATCAAAGTGCAATGGATTAAAGAATTTGAGGTGTAAAGTCTCTCATATTAAAGCATGGGCGCAAAGGGAATATGTGCACCCAGTTTAGGGTTTTCTAATGAGTTGCCTTTTTTGTTGTTATTAGCGACGATGTCAATTGAACTTTATGACCTGGATTTTGACAAGTTCAAACTAAACTCACCAAAAAAAAAGTTAAAGAATTGGGCTTTTAGACTTTAAGGTTCAGGCTCATCTAATGAGGTTTATATCCGACGCATAAATATATTAGAATTGAAGCTCATTTCACGTTCAACCCCAATCCATAAGTAACTAGTGTGAATACCCGTACTACGCACGGTACTTACGTTATTGAAATAAATTAAAGATTATACCAACATAATTTGAAATTAAAAAATTATACCAACATAATTAAAATTTAAGATTTGTCTAACAATAGTTCAAAAGGTAAAATATAGAAAACCTCCTTGTAGTTTGACTAATTGACACGCTACTTCCTCATTATTTAAAAACGCCCACAATACCCCCTCGTGCTTTGGATTAGAGTGGAATTACGCTTTTTGACCTGCTGTGAACCGATAGTCTATCTATTACTAATTTTTTTCTTTTTTTCTTTTATTTTCCTTTCCTTTCCTTTTTTTGTCTTTTCTTTTCTATTCTTCCTCTCCTTCTTCCTCCATTTCACATTCTCCACAACTCACAATATCGAAGCATGCTTGGGAGGTCTCCGACGAGTCTTTTCAGGTGGTGGTTTCCCAAAAGCACTGCAAGTGCAAATCCCACATGCCGAAACCTTCAGAGACGGTGGCTCTATCGCCGGAGACACCCTACCAGTGCGATAACGGGATCCGCCGCCGTTGGATCGTGTGACAACCCCACCTTCCCCTAAGGCGAACCAAAGGGTTCGGCGGACCGCTTGCCCAGCTCTTGGCAAGACTCGATCATTCTATTCAGATAAAATAAGACAAAACCTCGAGGAAAAGTAAAACAAAACCAATTCCCAAACTTGAAACGCTTACTTACATTCATTTCTATCTCAAAAGTAATACAATCCCAAATGTACAAAAGCTTTAGGTTCCCAATACTTCCAACCCTGCACTAGAGCGAGTATAATTGCAAAAGATAACTTCAAAAGGACTAGGCTATGCTATTCTATACAAGTCTCTCGCCCTTGCTCGCATCCCCTGTAAGGAAAACAAAACTAACGGAATGAGCTAAAAGCCCAGTGAGGTTCCAGACACATAAACAAACAATGAGTTCAATACATTAACCATAGATAGCAAGTAATTCCAGAAACATGACCATATAAAGCAATAATAACATTCATTAAAAGGATACGTGCTCACATGTAGCCATTCATTCTCCTTTCATTTCCTTATTCCTCCATTCGTTTGAAAATGCATTTTGATAAGTAAACCCTTCATTTGCATTGACAATCGTTCATTCATTTCATTCACCCCCTCCTGGACGTTGGCCAGGCTCCACCAGACTACAAGGTAATACTCGAGTATACCAATCATTCACCCAGGGTTACCAAATCGCCCGACCGAATCCGCTTCTGGCTCGAGTCGATCGGTAACGAAGGGCAGGGCCCAGTTCAGCCATCAGGCTTACATTCATGCACATATAATCATTCAATCATTGTAAATTTCACATTCACTTAGGTCGAGTGCGATAAAGTACACACTCGCCTAGAAAACTCTTTTTCAGCAATCATTGAAAACATCTAACATGTTACCATTCATTCATAACAAGTCATATAATCAAGAACAAGCCACATAGTCAATGAAATTATAACGAACAAGGAACACTCACCTATTTACGCAAAATAACGTCCAAAGTGTTCTTCCAGGTATTACCCTTAATCACCAAGGAACCCTAATATAATCAAAAGAACACATTATGCTTCAACTATCAAAGATTTAAGTGATTCAAAGAGAATTCGAATACGTACTAGTACAAAATATAAATATGGTTTTGGTAGTGAGAAGAGTACAGTGAAACCAAAGGACATAAGTAAAATATTTGTAAAACTTATACTCACTCGTAAAACTTTAAAATCTCCATTTGAGTCGAAGTGACAAAGAAAATGTATTTCTATTAGTCGTAAATTTCATTTTTTTCCAAGGGTACAAGTTTCGGCTAAGTTCTAACTTATATACCTCGATAAAAGAAGACGCCAATATCCTAGATGGTTCAAGTGGTATTCGCTCTCAAATCTTGCTCAAGTCGCAAGTATATCTACCTAGCCCTCGAGCGTAAATTTGGGCAGCACGCCCTTTGTATTTACCTATTTTCCAATAATTTATGGCTTCATTCTTTTCCTCAATCAATCCCAAAGTCACACACAAAATAATCTCATTTCAATAGCCATTCAATAGGCTCAAGTCATACAAGTACAAAATCAAGCTAAGGACATGTACGGAAATGAAAGACAGATTTGATGTTGTTTTGTGTAACGGACACAACCGAAGCTACGCTTATTGGATTGATGTGCAATTTATACCGTTTCGAAGCTAAGACAGAGGGCTACAATTTTGATGAAAACTACTTAGTCCAGTTTCTAGTGTATCCAAGTCATATTCCCAATTTACAGAACCGGATTCCTACCAACAGGCTAGTTAACTGCAGTACATTCAAATGGCCATAACTCAAACTACCAAAGTCCGATTAAGGCGTTCTCAGGGGCGTTGGAAAGCTAAGACATAGTACTACGACTTTCATGTTTTGGCTAAATACTAGTTCAGTACATATCATGGTGGAAAAGACACCACCAGATTGGTGAAATATTCAAAACTGATCACTGGATTCACCTAGGGCAGTCAGGGTATTTCAGTCTTTTCATAGACTACGTTGCTCCGATTGAGCTGAAAATTTACAGAAACCTATAAAACATTATTCTCTACAACTTTCATGTTTTATACTAAGCCTAATTTGGCCTCTAACATGGTGAACTAGAACCAGGCAGAACAGGGAGCATACTAACTTCAATTCTGGAAATTTGCTAGAATCAAGGTATAAGTCACATTTCTAGCTTAAAACCATCACTACCACCTCATATACAAGCTTATACACATCATATACCATCCACACAATAAGTATGATAAGTGACTCATTCAAACCCTAACTCAAATTCATCACCCCCAACCATCCAAAATCATTTGATATAAGCATTACAAGCACCCTTGAACCACAAATAAGCTAACAACAAATCTAGTATTAAAAGTAAAGAGAGATTTTTTGGCAAGATACCTTAAAACCACAAGAAGGTAGTGGTTTAGTCTTTCCTTTTCCAAAAAAACTCCACCAAAACCATCAAGCTTCCTAGTTGAGCACTTGTATGGAATAGATTCAAGTTTGGTTGGCTAGATCACAAGATTTGAGCAAGTTTGGAAGCTAAAATTGAAGAGCTCTTCCTTTTGTTTTCTCCTCAAGAGCAGCCGGCCAAGACAAGGAAATATGAGAGAAAATTGGTCAAAAATTGGTTTTAGTAAAGGTAATGAATAGTAAGTCAAAAGCCATCCTCTAACCGGTTTGCGACACGTGGCACCTTGAATGTTTTAAACTTATCTTCTCACTTCCAATGATTCATGTATCTAGCTAACCTCTAATCATTTTCTAACACCTTGTAAAATAATAACACTTAGCACAAAAATCACTAAGTCACCAAAATTATATCGCACTAGCGGGTCCCACATCTATAACGCACTTCAAATTAACGTACACTAACTCATATGATTTTAAAATTGTACTTATAAAAATGCATAGAAA